TCCAGAAATGGTACCCATTCTGTGAGAATGGGCAGGAAATCAATAGTCTTTGAGATACCAGGCCCACATTATATTGCATAGTCATTTTAGTTTTGGGATCAGGTACCAGTCCATGGAAGAAAAATACATGGAATGGTTGATTGGGAGAACACTAGGGGCCTGATGTGTGGGAGGGAAGAGGGGCAAATAGAAATAGTGGCCTAAGAAGTCAGGTTACTGAGCCCACCATTCCCCACTGCAGCACCCATGTTGGACGAATCGGTCATCATACAGTTGGTGGAAATGGGCTTTCCTATGGATGCCTGCCGCAAAGCTGTCTACTACACGGGCAATAGTGGGGCTGAGGCCGCCATGAACTGGGTCATGTCACACATGGATGATCCAGGTAGACCAGTGGGTACATGGTTGGGTGGCAGGGTAGGACCTCCATCCTCCCCCAAAAACTTCAACCCCTTCACATTCACAGATTTTGCAAACCCTCTCATCTTGCCTGGCTCCAGTGGGCCTGGCTCCACAAGTGCAGCAGCTGATCCCCCACCAGAGGACTGTGTGACCACCATTGTCTCTATGGGCTTCTCAAGGGACCAGGCCCTGAAAGCTCTGCGGGCCACGGTATGGACTGTTCTAGCTAAAAACTTGGAGTCTCTGTGGACAAAGTGGTGGGATTGAAGTTCATACTTGTCGAATAGGACCAAGGACAAGTGTAATGCAGCCAAGGCTGGGTGCCCTCTTGTGTGGCTGCAAAGTAGGAACTAAGGCTTCCCCTCACTGTTGGTATCCTTGCCCCAGAACTTTTTAGGAAAAATAACACTTCCCTCCTCTCCAAGAACAACAGTTTAGAACGGGCTGTGGACTGGATCTTCAGTCACATTGATGACCTGGATGCAGAAGCTGCCATGGACATCTCGGAAGGCCGCTCAGCTGCTGACTCCATCTCTGAGTCTGTGCCAGTGGGACCCAAAGTCCGGGATGGTCCTGGAAGTGAGTATTCCCAGGAAACAGGACAAACCTTGGTGGAAACTAGCCACTCTGCTATACCAGGTTCCTCATTCTAAGGCAGCTCTGCTTTCCTTAGATCCAAGGGGTCAGAAGCTTCTTTCCACTAAAGAAACTTGTGAGGGTGGGATTCCAGGAGGCTGAGATAGACTTTGGCCCAGGATACACCCCATATCCCCTAAAACTCCTGTCCTGAATTTGATCTGTTATATATATATCTTTGGACTGTCAAGGGTCACGCTCCTATTTCTCTTCTGCCTTCTATCTTCTTCCTTAGAGTATCAGCTTTTTGCCTTCATTAGTCACATGGGCACCTCTACCATGTGTGGTCACTACGTCTGCCACATCAAGAAGGAAGGCAGGTGAGGGGCTGGCAGTGTGAATGGAGAAGTGGTGATGGGAATGAGGAAGGATAACCTGGAAATCCCTAGCATGTATATGGGAGAGGTAAAGGATTCCCTGAGGGGGCATGAATACACCTGAGATGGAGAGAATGTCTTTTGTCAGAGACAAGCAAACTGCAGCCCATGGGCTAAATCAGGCTACCTGCTTGTATAAATGAAGTTTAACTAGACATAGCTATGTGCTTTTTTATGTATTACTGCCTGTGGCCATTTTCATATGGCAGCAGGAAAATTGAGTGGTTGTATCAGAGATTAGGTGACCTGCAGAACCAAAAATATTGACTGCCTGGCTTAGAGAAAGTTTTCTGACCCCCTGCCTCATAGGAATTGGGGTGAGGGTTAAAAGGAGACTAGAGGAGCTGAATATACCAAATAGAGGAAATGACCCTTGTTATGAGATTGGGAAACTCCCTTCAGATTAGTAGCAGCTGGACAATAGATATGGAGATCCAGGCAGAGAATGTTGGGAGCCTTGCTCCAGGATTACCTCCAGATGCCATGGCTGAGAGATGAAGTTTTTGCAACTTGGAGTGCCCAGTTTGTTCATCCTATTCTGTCCCTTCTCCTACCCCATCAGATGGGTGATCTACAATGACCAGAAAGTGTGTGCCTCTGAGAAGCCACCCAAGGACCTGGGCTATATCTACTTCTACCAGAGAGTGACCAGCTAAAACCTGCTCTCACCCCTTACCACTGAGGGCAGGGGACAAACCACCTGGTATGAGGGACAGGGGCTGAGGGATGAACTTCAGCCCCCTGCTCTATACCCTTTTTCTTTTTGTCCCCAGCAGCAGGGAAGAAGCTGGAGGCCATAGGAGAATGGCCAAGCAAAGCAGAGGGGCATTCGATAGACTTTGGGGATAGAGTGAGAAGGGGACAGGAGGGGGCTGACCACCTGTCTGTAAGGAGACTCTGTTGGTTTCCCCTGCCCCTTCAATTCACAGTGCTCTACTTCTGTGTAACCCTGCCCAGCCCCTGGTGTAGGGGGAGGGGTCTTATTTGTGTCTGCGAGTGGGTGTAGCTTTGTGCATCCTCTTCCAGGGGAGGGGAGCACCTGTGCTTCCCCTCCTATGTGTTTTCTCCTGTGTGGTTGGGCAAGGAGGGATATGAGGGAAATGGGGACCCCCCCTTGCCCTCCTGCCTCAGTCTTTCCCCCACCCTGTCTCTTCCCTGTCCTCTGAAAAATGCCAAAATACACGATGTGAATAAAAATACAATGGCTAAACTGTCCTGTTTGTTACCTTGGGGGAGACTTATCTTGCTGGGGAAGATGATTGTCCAGGGGACCAGATTCAGAAACTCTTGCTCCTCCCCAGCTCCTAGACATTTTTCTACTTGTCACTAGCTTTAAAATTCTTGGAAAATTGAGTGTGAGGTGGGGAACTATAATAAAGTGACCAAAAAAAAATGCAGAACACAAAGGAAAAAAAGGGGTAAAGAGCCCTTCCTTATGGCAGTCACATAGGAAGAGGCCTAAGTATTTCCCCAGAAGTCTGAGGTGGACCTCTACAGTTCTATTCAGGCTTTGGCCAACTGAAGCAAAGAGTGGGACGCCCAGGGGTGAGGTGGGGGTATTAACTGGCTTCAGATTTCTGAAGTACCTCTTGTCTGCACAGCTGATGATATGAGCTGATCCTCCTACTGAACCTAGTATTTGCCCAGTAATTGTGGGTTAGACCAAGGGTGTCTGCTTAGCCATCAGAGATGTAGTTAACTCCGATGGGGGAAGGGGGCTCTGAGAGACATTCCCTCAGCGCTCAGTCCTAGTGAGCGATCTGGTCTAAGGCCAGGTTGCTCAGCTAACCCCACTCTGAACCCTCTCTGGGGGGCTGAAGTTATGAAGAGAGTTTTCCTGAGCGCAGGTTCTCACAGTTTTCACTTCTACAAATCAGACAATTGAGACAAGAACGACTGATCCCTCGGACACCCCTAGAACGTTGCTACAAGAAAGGGGGGAACGTCAGAACTTTGCAACACTGGGCGGTCGGGGGACTGGGCTGGTGGGGAGGCCGCTGAGGCAGGGGGCCGGGCTAATCATGGCTGAGGGCGGGGAGGAGGCGGAGTTCTGCTTCACAGCGGTATATATAAGCGGGCAGTGGCCGCGGCTGCGCGCTGATACTGACCTTCAGTGTGCCGGCACCAGCACCATGGCGCCCTCCAGGAAATTCTTCGTGGGGGGCAACTGGAAGATGAACGGGCGGAAGAAGTGTCTGGGGGAACTCATCTGTACCCTGAATGCGGCCAAGGTGCCCGCCGACACCGAGGTGGTTTGTGCGCCCCCCACTGCCTACATCGACTTCGCCCGGCAGAAACTAGATCCCAAGATTGCTGTGGCTGCGCAGAACTGCTACAAAGTGACTAATGGGGCCTTCACTGGGGAGATCAGGTGAGATGGAGATGGAGAGAGAAGTGGTGGGGAACCTTTCACTTTTTTCATGGAGGGGAAAGGTACAGGGTGTGCTTCCTGCTAAACTTGAGCTTTCTCTCTTCCCTTAGCCCTGGCATGATCAAAGACTGTGGAGCCACGTGGGTAGTCCTGGGGCACTCGGAGAGGAGGCACGTCTTTGGGGAGTCAGATGAGGTTAGTAACCATGAGAAGAGATAAGAGATGCTTATTCCAAGAAAGGTGTCTCACCAAGTCTGTTCCTCAACAGCTGATTGGGCAGAAAGTGGCCCATGCCCTAGCAGAGGGACTCGGAGTGATCGCCTGCATTGGGGAGAAGCTAGATGAGAGGGAAGCTGGCATCACAGAGAAGGTTGTTTTYGAACAGACCAAGGTCATCGCAGATAATGTGAAGGACTGGAACAAGGTCGTCCTGGCCTATGAGCCTGTGTGGGCCATTGGTACTGGCAAGACTGCAACACCCCAACAGGTATCTGAGCCCAGGAGTCCTGCCTTCCCAAACCCCAAAACACAGTGATTTGTCCAAGGGCATCCATTCCAGGGCTTGGCTGGTTTTGGAGCCTTAGTATTCTGACTCAGATTCCAGGGCTCTTGCCTTGACACACTCTCTCTCCATTGGTGCCAGTGATTTCCTCTTTAAAGGGCAGAAAGGGTCTTTCTTAGACTGCCTTCTTGTTTTAGGCCCAGGAAGTACATGAGAAACTTCGGGGATGGCTCAAGTCCAATGTTTCTGATGCAGTGGCTCAAAGCACTCGCATCATTTATGGAGGTAAGTGGGTTTGGCTCTAGCTTGTGAAGCCTATCAAGTAGGCTGAGCCCACTATAGACATGGAGGTAGGGATGGAGTATATTCATCTCATCCCTGACAAAACCCTCTTTCTACCTCCTCCCCAGGTTCTGTGACTGGGGCAACCTGCAAAGAGCTAGCCAGCCAGCCTGATGTGGACGGCTTCCTCKTGGGTGGTGCTTCCCTCAAGCCCGAATTTGTGGACATCATCAATGCCAAACAATAAGCGCCATCAATCTGTTCTTCCCGATAAGCCAGGGATTAGGTAGTCCAGAAGCCAAGTAACTGCCCTCACCCTTCACATGCTTCTGATGTTGTCATCTGCCTCCTCTCAAGGCCTAATCCACTGTACCTTCCTTTACCATTTACACCTTTCCCCTGTGATGGTTTGAACCAGGTTAATCCACCACTTACTATAATGGTTAGAACTAAACATGTCACCAAGGTGGCTTCTCCTCAACTGAGAGGTAGAAGGAATGGAGCTCGCTCATGGGTCCCCTCAGGCCCTGGTGAGAGCAAGAGAGAGAAACCATGTTCCTTTCCCTTCTCACATCAAGGCCAATATCCTCCCCTCAGAGGCCAGGGATGCTCCTTYTCCCATGGTGCCAATTCCTGTGTGTTGTGTATGTGAGCTTTCGCACATGTAAGGAAAATAAAACATCTGGCACTAAGTCGGTGGTTTGTTCTCCTTCACTGTAAATATTTTTCCTTTTTAAGGCCCTCTCCAGACCCCAAAATGGGCTTTTTGAGGTAGTCACAGACTACCCTTGTTTAAAAAGGCAAACAAAAAACCCCATTAACAGGTTTCTATAACAACACATCTCTTAGTATTTTTACTTTAAAAAAATGTCTTATGTACCAGGCTGCCACAGCCTTGAAAATTCTCTGCCACACTGTTTTGGGTAGCACTGAGACTTGTGGAGCTCCCCAGAGCTTGAATTGGGGGAGGGACCCAACCTCACTGCTGGTCTAGGCCCGCAGTGGCTCCAGCACACTCTGGTATCCCAGGTTCACTGGTAGAGCAGGTAGCGCTTCATGGATGGGGGCAAGGGCAGAGCAGACACCTGGCCCAGCCGGGTATCCCCCAGGGCGTGGCGTACACACAAGCGGCTCAGATGCAGAAGGGAGTGTGGTTCCGCTGGGAGAGAGAAGAAGGAAAAGGTAAATAGGGGTTCAGCCACCAGCCAGACATCTTCAAACTACAGGATCTTACCCAGCCTCCCTCCTTTCTTGCTGTACACCTGACTCCACCTTGGCTGAGGGAGATATAAGGCATCACAATTGATTTCACAGCTGAGATTATCTTGAGAGAGCTGGACTGAAGCTCTAGCTAAAGACCTCTAAGCAATAGGCCAATATGGGCCCATTAGTGGTGGAGGTGGCCCAGGCTTTGATTCAAGAGGGACCTTGGAGGGGATGGGGATGTGGCTCAAGCAGTAACGCACTCGCCTGGCATGCGTGGGGCGCTGGGTTCGATCTCAGCACCACATAGAAATAAAGATGTTGTGTCCACTGAAAACTAAAAAATAAATATTAAAAGGAAAAGAAGTGGGGCCTTGGAGCTGGGGTGAGGAAATGAAAGGAAGGATGGGCCTGCTCCACTGTGTGGCTCAGTATGGGTAACAAGAGGACAGGCACCAGCCCTCTGCTGAAGACTGCAACTTCAGAGCTAACTCCCAGTACTGGTCCCATTCGGTTCCCAAGGAGGCTCCTCCCTTGCAGCCCCACCCAAAGCCATGACCAGGGCCCCAAAGGCCCCATCCTGGGATTTGACAGGAAAAGGAAGTAGGTATGTGGCACATACAGGTCAGAGCCCAGGAAATCTGATACACACTCTTGGTACCGGGCACTGCCAGTCCTTTTCTGGACCTGTAAACCCAGCCCAGGACCCATTTAACCCTTTGCCCATCTTGCTCAAGGGTTGATATCTCCCAAGAGCCTCCCTCCATTCTGAGGGTTCACCAAGAGAATATGAGCAAGTTGTTCCCAAGCCTCAGTTTTGCCTCCAAGTAAATTAGATAACAGCTTGAAGAACCTCAGCCATTCCTGGAACTGAATAAGGATAGGAGACAGGTCGAATGAAAGCCTCTGCTCTTGTCCAGCATTGGACAAATCCCTGCCACTAGTGACAATACCTTTCTTCCCCACACCCCCGGCCTCACCTCTCCTTTCGCCCAGGTAGCGGATGTGGACCTGGCACTGGCCCCAAACAGCGCTTACAGCTGGATAGAGGGTCCTGCCCTTCAGTCCGCGGAAGGCTGGCCCCAGATATGTGCCCCCAATAGCGTAGCCCAGAGTTCCCTCCTCCATGTCCAGAACCACCAGCAGCCTCTCTGGCACCTCCAGCTGCTCACCCTGAGGTCTCGCTGGATACTGGGGGGCCTCAGGCCCCTTACTCTGATGGTACAGCTTTCCCCGCCCAATGTCCCAGCCCCACGACTCGCTGTTGCTGCCCAGCAGCGCCGCATAGTGGTCTGCCTGCAGTGGGGCGAGGGCCGTGGCCACGCCCACTACCGCGTGTGTGCCCCTCTGTTCCGGGGGCCAGCAGATCTCCCAGGCGTGCAGGCCTCTGGAGTAGCCCCTCTTTCCCCGGACCCCATCAGTGCTCTGGGCCACAGGTCGCCGCTCAAAGCATAACCCCCCTTCTTTGACCTCGATGTTCTCTGAGCAGTCCTTGGGGTTCCAGCCATGGCGCCGTTGGGCCCCCAGGTCAGGAGGGGAAGCAGACAGGAGCTCTTCCAAGCCCTCGGGACAAGAAAGGTCAGGATACAGAGCCTGCGAGGTGGGGGTGCTGTTGCTGCCCCCTGCCAGGGCCGTCTGGCCCATGGAGGTGAGCAGCTGGAGGACGCCCCGAAACAGTCTTGCTGGGGCGTCTCTCTTCTCAAAGTTGAGTTCCAGATTGGGAATGACCTGGAGGGGAGTTGGGAGAGAAAGGGATATGAAGCGCGGTATTCTGGATGGGTGGTCCTCACCCGGACAACCATCCTTTCACCACGCATGCCGACTGGCCGGCTTCTCTCTGCCGGCACCCCCAAAGCTCCAGGGCCCATCACCCTGCCTTCGCTCTGTGCTGGGTCGCCCAAGACACTCGAGTTCGCCCTCTCCGGACCTCACAGTAGGCTGTCCTTCTTGCCTACACAGAGTCCCCGACCCCGTCCCCACTACCGCCCCTACCCCTGCCTCCGACCCCGACCCCGAACCTCGCTCGCCTTCCCAACCGGGAAGTCGCGGGGCATCGGGATGAAACCAGCCAAAAGAAGCCCCGTTGCCTGGAAGCGGACAGCAGGCCGCTTCCGCCTTTGGACCCTACCACTGCAGGACACGCAGGCCTCGCGCCCCGCCCCCAGGGGGGGCCTCTGGGGCGGTTAACCCTCTCGTCGCCAACCACGTCACGCCCACCCAGGCCACGCCCCCAGAGTACCTCACTGGGAGGTTAACAGCAATTGGGTTGCTGTGGTAAAGGGCGCGCCCTGTTCCCGGTTCCCGTAGAGCACTCTCGGGGCGGTTAACCAACTTCTAGTCACCTGCCCGAGCCACAACCCGCCCCAAGGCCTCGTCTCCGTGGGTAGGACGTGCAGAGCCGTTAACCCTTCCATCGCCGCCACAGAATCTGCTCTCAGGTGTCCCAGCTCAGAATTAATCCTTTGATGTCATCATCACCTTGGGATCTCTGTGGAGGTGTTCTCCCCAATGAAGACCTTTGAGCCGCCTGAGCCACCAACCAACTCCTGAGCCCAGAGTTTATGATACAGGGCATGGGGCCAAGGAAGGTCTTCCATCATGCCTGCATTGTTTCCATTTCCCTGCGATTCTGGGTCAGTCTTCCAGGGCTGCTCTCTTTCTGCCCCAAGTTGTGAGTCAAACTTGTGCTTTTATCTGAGGTTCTGAACTCTGTACGGACTGAAGGTTGTAGATGTCAAAATGGGTTTCATCCGGGACGCCAATCCCTTCCAGGGTTGTCGGCAGACACAACATCTTTTGTTGGTATGTGGTGCTGAGGATCGAACCTGGGCCGCACGCATGCCAGGCGAGCGCGCTACCGCTTGAGCCACATCCCCAGCCCCCTTTTTTTTTTTTTTTTTTTTTCAATATGTGGTCTTGTTATATTGCCCAGGCTGAAGGGATTCTCCTCCATTTCCTGAGTAGCTGGAATTACTGGCGCGCTGACACCTTATAGGTTTGCTTGTTTGTTTTAGTTGTAGATGGACACAATACTTTTGTTTGTTTGTTTAGTTATCTTTATGTGGTGCTTAGGATCAAAACCAGTGCCTCACACGTGCTTAGGCGAGCACTCAGCACTCCTGAGCCACAACCCAGCTCATTTTACCGGGCTTAAGACACTGGTCTTAAGTTATAATCTAAGTAAAGCATTTAGCACAGAGCCTGGGGTGTGGTATGTACTCACTGAGCATAATTATTGGTTACTTAACACTTACTGAGTGCCCACTCTATACACAGGCAATATAATAGAGCATGAAATATGCCAACTGTTGTCTAGTGTGGTGGCACAGGCACCACAGCAGTTCCGGAGGCTGAGGCAGGAGGATCCTAAGTTCAAGGCCAGTCTGGGCAATTTAGTAAGACCCTGTCTTAAAATAAAAAATGAGGGCTGGGCTTGTAGCTCAGTGGTAGAACACACCTGGGTTCAATCCTTTCCACCAAAAATGAAGTCAACTTTGGAGACAAACTGGGCATGAGTACCTGAAGGCCAATATGCATGCAACCTTGAGGAAATTACTTCACCTCCCTGTGCCTGTTTCTTTCTCTATGTCAGCAATAATAAGAGTATTTATTGCATAGATATAGTGAGGAGGCAATGAGTTGATATAAATGTAAAGCACTTAGAATGGTTTCTGTTTCAAACTTAATTATTTGTATTAAGCACTAGAGATTAAGCAATGAATCTTCCAAAAGGATACAAACTATTTGTAAAACAGTTTATCAGTGAATTGATGGAGATATAAAGAAAGTAGGAGTAAAAAAGGACCCCAAGTAGGGGTGGTCAAGCAGTTAGGAAAGTAAATGTTACCCTATAGGACAGGCCAGTAATGGAAAGCCACCTTAGGAGATAAGCAGGAGAAGAACATAGGGAGAAAAGGATCTACTATGCTTAATTTCTGGTAACTGGGATTGAATCCAGGATCACTCTACCGCTGAGCTACATCCCCAGCCACCCCCACCCTCATATATATATGCTTAGTTGTAGTTGGACACAATACCTTTATTTATTTATTTATTTATTTTTTGTGTTGCTGAGGATCGAACCCAGCACCTCACACATGCTAGATCCCCAGCCCTTTTTAATTTTTATTTTGAGACAGGGTTTTGTTAAGTTGCTGAGGCTAGCCTCAAACTGGTGATCCTTCTGTCTCAGACTTCTGAGTTGCTGGGATTACAGACAGATGAAGGAAAATTCAGTTTTGATTACTGTACTTAAAAGATTTTGGGGGCTCAAGGTTATTGACAGCTTTGGTGAGAGAACACATATTGGGAAAGGAGGTGGAATTCCTGGGTAAAGTGGCTGGATTTTCACTTTCTGGGTGTCAAGAATTGTGCTACAGGGGTGGGATTGTAGCTCAGTGGTAGAGCACTTGCCAAGCAAGTGTGAGGCACTTGGTTCAATTCTCAGCACCACATATAAATAAATAAAATAAAGTCTATCAACAACAACAAAAAATATATTAAAAAAAAAAGAATTGTGCTACAGATTTCTCATTTGGAGGAGATAGAATAAAAAAGGATAAGGTAACAATTATGTCACCTAGTCAAAATTCCTTACTCTACTTATTACATACAGCGTGTTTGTTTTGTGTAAAAATCAACATAGGGCCAGGTGCAGTGGCACATACCTGTTGTTACAGCAACTCAGAAGGCTGAGGAAGGAGAATTAGGAGTTCAAGGCCAGCCTTAGCAACTTATCAAGACTCTAAGCAATTAAGTGAAACCCTGTCTCAAAATAAAAAATAAAAGGACAGGGATGTGGCTCAGCAGTAAGTGCTCCTGGCTTCACTCTCCAATAAAAACAATAGCAACAAATCAATATATGGTAGTATGATGTACAGAATAAAAAAAAAAAAATAGGGGGTATTTAACTCAGAGGCCCTTACCCAACTGAGCCACATCCCCAGCCCTTTTTTATTTTGAGACAGGGTCTCTCTAAGTTGCTAGGGCCTCCCTAAATTGTTGAGGCAGGTCTCTAACTTGCAATCCTTCAGCCTCAGCCTCCTGAGTCTCTGGGTTTACAGGTGTGCACCACTGCACCCAGTCCAGAATAAAATTTTATAATAAATTAATGTGCATGTGCATGTACCACACACATATACATACACACACACACACACACACACACACACACACACACACATATTTTCTTGATGGAGATCCATTTCAAGCCCTCTTATGCAAATATTCTACCACTATGTTACATACCCAAGTGCACTAAAAGCAAAAATAAATGTGAATAAATGTAAAAAAAAAAAAAGTTGCACCCTCAGCCCTTAAAATATTTTATATTACAGAGGAAGAAGAAGCATACTAAAAAGAAAGAAGTGAATCTGAATGCTTGTCATCCACCCAATCTAGATATTCTTGCCAGTGTGTAACAATAACAATAAAGACATCATGACTATGGATAGCTTGTACATAAAGGCTTGGGAACACATAGGGAGCCTAAGAAATGGCTGGCTCTAGTTCAGCTTGAGAAGTTAACCACACTTGCTCAGCTGCTGCTACTTTTTAAAAATGTTGATCAAATGTTGCCACTGAATTTTAAGCTGCTCAAGTATTTGTTGATATAGCTCCAATATTTGATAATGCTACAAGTAATTTTAACTTTGTACTTTTTTGATTTGCAACAAATATAAACTAACTTTTTTTTTTTTTTTTTTTTTTTTTTTTTTTACCAGGGATTGAACTCAGGGGCACTTAATCACTGAACCACACCCCCAACCCTTTCTGGTATTTTTTTAGAGACAGGGTGTTACTGAGTTGCTTAGGGCCTCATTAAATTGCTGAGGCTGGCCTTGAACTTGCAATCTTCCTGCCTCAGCCTCCCAAACCGTTGGGATTACAGGCATGCACCACCATGCCTGTCTGAAATAAACTGTCTTAACTTAAATTACCCAATAATTGGCTTTTCTTCTTTTTCTTTTCTTTGGCACTGAATCCAGGGTCTTGCACATGCTAGACAAGAGATCTACAACTGAGCTACACCCTCAGCCCTGCCTAACAAATTTTTTCATGTACCATACACTTGCATGATTACCCCCACCAAGATCAAGATCAACAGTCATGGTAGCACATGCCTGAAATCCCAGCGGCTTGGGAGGCTGAGAGAGGAGAATCTTTTTTTTTTTTTTTTAATATTTATTTTGTGGTTTTTTAGGTGGACACAATCTCTTTATTTTATTTTTATGTGGTACTGAGAATTGAACCCAGTGCCTCATGCATGCTAGGCCAGCGCGCTGCCACTTGAGCCACATCCCCAGCCCTGAGAGGAGAATCTTGAGTTCAAAGTCAGCCTCAGCAACTTCTAAGCACTAAGCAACTCAATGAGACCCTGTCTCTAAATCAAATACAAAATAGGGTTGGGGATGTGACTCAGTGGTTGAGTACCCCTGAGTTCAATCCCCAGTACCAAAAAAAAAAAAAAAAAAAAAAGAAGTCAAGATCAAGGATCTTTCCAGGATCCAGAACACTCTTTCTTGCTCTTCCCTGACACTACATCCCCAAGGTTAACTCCTATTTGACCTCTATCATCAATGAAACCATACTACATACACACAATACTACAATATAGTATTGCATTTTTGTGTCTGATTTATTCTTCTTATCTGTGTCATCTATGTTGTTGCATGAAATATTATCTAATTATGTACATTATTCCATTATCTGTTCTACTGTTAATAGACATTTGTTTCCAGTTTTTAGCCATTTTAAAGAAAGCTTCTGGGGCTGGGGATATGGCACAGTGGGTAGGGTGCTTGCCTCGTATTTACAAGGCCCTGGGTTCAATCCCAAGCACCACACACACACACACACACACACACACACACACACGCTTCCATATGAACTTCTATATGTACTTCTATGTACTAATATACATAGAAGTCTTTTTGTAGACTTCTATGTACAGTAGTACTTCTATGTACATTAGTACATAGAAGTCTATACAATTTTTTCCCCTGGTACTAGGATAGAACCCAGGGCCTGGCACATGCTAGGCAAGAGCTCTACTACCAAACTACATCCCCAATCTTTTTTTTTTTTTTGGTTGGCGGGGG